AAAAAAAAAAAAAAAAAGGTGGGGAGATGGGCAAGAGATGAAAGCCAAGTTCCTGCCATGCTGTTTAGGATAGCTGGCTGGGGCACGGAAAGTACGCAGGATGAACAAACACGTCCTCATCCCAGGCTCCTGATCTGTGGATGGAGAGGCTAGGAAAGCGGAACAGGTTCTAACTAGCCTCCAGTGTGCATGAATCCCATAGGTGAGCTTGATTTTTTTTTTTTTTCTTAGAAACCCTAACGTAGAAGAATGTTAGGGAAGCTAGTAGCACTCGGCCCAACACCTTTTCAACAGGAACCAGAGCCCTCCAGAAATCCATCCCTGTCACGCAGAGCCCCGGGTGACAGTGATGTGCACAAATGCACGTCACTCATCGCGCGTTAATGCAACTGTCCATGCCAACACTTCTGGACTCCTTTCCCTGGTGTCTCGGGGCGATGGCATCCCCACCTCCCGGGTTTGTGAAAAAGGGAACAAAAACAACCCCAAAGAGCTTTTCCCCAAAACAACCAAAATAGGTGTGACAGTTACATACAGTTATGGAAGGTAGAGCTCCCATCCTACCAAAAAGGAAGTTGTGGCTTTAAGAAATACTGTCACTCACCACAGGTCACACAGCTGATAAACAGCCGGGTTAGAAGTTAGAGTCAGCAAATTTTCTTATTGGGCCATGGTTTCCTTCCTCATAGCTGTCACTATGTCTGCCTTTTGAAGTGTTCTACTATTCGATGCCCTCCCCCAGGGGTAAGCTCCCCTGTAGCCTCAGTCACCTCTCGAACCCATTGCCAGTTGTTGCACAGTCTGCTCTTACATCTTTATTCTCTCCTACACACTGGCTTTTGTGGCAGTCTAAGAACATATTCATGGCACGGGCGGGGGGTGGGGGGGGGAAGGGAGAGGGGCATACTTTCAGATCATTAACCCTAGAGTTCTGAATTCACTTTTTCAACACCCCGAAACCTCATACCTTCTGCCATCACCATCCAGGGCCCTCTTTCATTCCCCATCACCCTCTTGCTCCATGCACCTTACAGTTGGTCTCCCAACACTCCAGAAAATGCTCTCAGGATTCCTGGAGTCCCCTTTACTGTCCCTCATTCAGTCTTTGCTTATAGGAAATGAACAT